CTCTCTCCCCCCCCCCCCCCCCCCATATTCTTTAATGTTTCTGGTTTTGCCATATACCTATGTAAGACTGTTGGTGTGAAGTTCCCTCATTCTCCTCCAGGAGTAGTTTGTTCACTCCCTTCAAAAAGGTCCTATATATTTCCTGGTTCTGACCAGCTGGCCTTATTATTTGTAGAGTAAAAGAACATAACAGATGGCACAGTGGGTGGGGTCAGAACACAAGACCTTTTAATTCTGTTTTCTGTACCTTGCTGGTGCTGCTTACATACTCTGCTGCTCTGCTTTTGCTTCATTCTACTCTCAGTGAGTCTAACCCAGAGGTGCTGGGTTTTTGGTTGTACCTGTGTTGTTCTAAGCGCATAGGCAGGCAAGATTCTTTGGGTAGATGTGATATCTTTTATTAGACCAACAGTGTAGTTGGAAAAAAGTTCTTTATAAGCTTTTGGGCATAGTCACCCTTCTTCAGGCATAGGGACTCTCTGCTCTTCTGAGACTAAGGAATTAGAGAAACTAAAAATGTGACAAGATGTCAGTGAAAATGTAAATAGGGGGAAATTAGGAAAACAAAAGATAGAGAAGGGAGGGGGAAAACAAGGGGAAAAAAGCCCCAAAGGTAAGTAAGGCAGATTCTACTGTAGTAGCTTTCCAAGGTAGAAAAGGGGCTGTCTGTGAAAAAGTAAATTGCTGAAAATTAGGAAGACAAAGGGTAAAAGAGGAGGTGGGGGAGGAAGTGGGGGAAAGAAAAGTATAAAAGGTTAGGTCTGGAGGTACCCAGAGGTGGGCAGTTATTTTCGCTGGCTGGCCGCTTAACAAATTTTGGTGAGCTGTTGAGGGCTGCAAGGGTAGCCCCGCCCCCTGATCACCATTGTGGGACCAGAAGTCTCGCCCTCTAACCCATGGCCTTTGCCAGTGGAAGTCCCTCCGCTTACCACCAGACATACTCCTTTTGGCAAGGGGGTTTGCCATCTTGGAACTGGAAAAAAACAAGTTAACAGATTGAATTTTATTGGAAAATGTTATGAGTCATGACCCAAAAAGGTGACAAAGCCATAAGGGAAATACAAAGTGCCTGAGTGACTGACTAACATATGGGGGATGGGGGTGAGGAGGGGAACTCAACCAGGTTACAGAAAATACAATGTTAGTCAACTAAGCGTGGGGTGGGGGAAGGGGAGGGAGGAGGTTTGCAACAGTGAGAGAGAAAGAAGATAGATGCACACAAGCCTGTACACTGGTCTGCAGTGGTGGAGGGGGTAGGTTGAAAGAGGTTTTCAGTCTATAGAGTCTTATCGCGGGGGTCCTCTTCGAGTTGAGTGGTCTGTTGTTGATTCCTCTCGGAGTCCATCAGGTACAGAGGGGGATTCAGGCGGTCCCCTCTGGGTCCGGTCTGTTGGGGTCAGTGTACTGGTGATGGCCCATGATGTGCCCGATGTAGATGTTGCAGGACCAACCAGTGGTGTCAGAAACCATGAGGTGATGCATCAGCTTGGCGTAGCGTCGGGAGATGCAGCAGGTATACAGGATGCTTTTGTTGCTGGGGTCCCAGACTCCGAGCATTCCTACAATGACCACGTCAACTGTCATGTCGTAGCCACGGCCCCTCAGGATGTCAGCCAGTGGGGCGTACTGCTCCCGCTTGCAAGCCTGGGCATCAGTGAAGGCTTGGCACCGGTTCTCAAAGGTGATGGTACGTCCATGATCACTATTTTCTTGGCCTCCTCATTTGTGATGATGATGTCAGGGCGCACCTGGCTCTTGCAGCCCGGGACGGTGTGGTTCATGGAGATCTCCCCTGCTGTGGCTGGGATGGCCTTCACCAGGCGGTCCTCAGCAGTGTTGTGGCGGAGCTGCCAGGCTCTGGCATGTGGCCTGCAGCTGTACAGCACGTGGGGGAGGGTCTCTGCCGCATAGCCATGCTGCTGGCACCTCTTATCCTGGTGGCCGAAGGAGATTGCCCTGTTCAGAGGCAGGCAGTTGAGGCGGGCGTGGTGGAGGAAGTGCCAGTCCGCAAAGCGCGTAAAGCTCCTGCTGGGCATGAAGTGGTTGCTCAAGTCCCACTTCAGGGTATCGTTGAAGACCTTGCTGTGGTCAGGTTTGGACGTCAGGTCACCGGCATGCTTGTTATGGATGGCATCCTTCAGGAACTGCTCCAGGAAGGTCCTCATGCAGGGCGTCACTGTGATGGGGTTGGCGTGCGGGGCTGGCTGCAGCAAGACTCCTAGTGCTCCTTGATCCATGTCCAGGCAAAGCTGATGCACTTGCAGAGGTGGCACGTGGAGTTGTGGGCTCGGCTCCACAGTGAGGCAAAGTCCCTGCCGAACTCACCCTGCAGTGAGTCACTGAGGAAGGTGACTAAGTAATGTCCAGTGAGTTGTCCTGCAATCCTCTTGCAGGTGGTCTCCTCAAGGGTGCTGGCCGCAATGATACCATCGGGTCTGGGCAGGTCAGGAGGCAGAAGGCATGGGTGACCACTGTGATGTCGCAGAGGTCTTCCATGCATGAGACTTTGGCACCTCCCTATATAGAACATTTACAATAACATATTTAAATTTTATTTCAAATTAAATATTCTTGTCCTGATTTGTGTACATTTGTGTTATGTACATAGAGGTGATTGTGTAATGGCTCAAATTAAGTCTTTCTTTTGTATATTGTGGGTTTGTGTGTGGGAGGCTAAACTGTAGTCTCTTGTCTTGTCCACAGCGGCCAATAGGATGTAGTTT